TGTGCTCTTCCAAGCCTGTGTGCCCTGTACACGTCTCTCCCATTCCTCGCCTCCCTGATCTACTCCTACTCTTTCTACAAAGCCCTCCTTGTGGCCCCCAGTGACGACTTCCCCAAGCCCCCTAGGCGGTTAGTTACTTCCCTGCTCACGCTCCCTTTTTGCCTGTGGATGATCCATATCACACTGAGGTGGGCGTCTGGTTAGGTGGTTGTCTCCTCACCTGACTGCAGGGAACCCCAGGCTTCTCTGTGCTTTACCCCTCGGCACCCAGCACAGCCCTGGGCCCAGCACAGCCCTCCGGCGGTGTGTTCTACACTGAGGGGAGGGGAGTAGGGGGTGGTCTCAGGAAGGCAGACCTGCGGAAAGCCCATCAATCTTAATGTTCCCCGCCTGACACACACAAAAACGCCTGAACAGATGGGGAAGAGAGTGGTAGGAGCCCAGTAAGAGCGGTGTCCAGCGCTGTGCAAGGGCCAGCAGATGTGATGCCTGCGAGCGGGGATCAGTGGGAATGAAGTAACCCCAGAGCGTGTCTGTTCGCATGAGAGAGAAGATCTGAAACCACCTCTGGCCAAGCAGGACCCTTTTCCGACTTCTCTCACCTGAGCTCAACTCCTGGTGATGGGAATGTCCGCATCCACACAGTCACTCAGCTGGAAAGAAGTCGCAGGGAGGCTGTGTGATGTCATTAAGGCCATCCAGCTCACATGCCTTGCTGCGATTCCGTGGTCAGCAAGAAAGCTCCCATGGAGAGTGTCCCCACGGGGCAGGGCAGGGAGGACACTGTCCAGCTGACACAAAGTTTTAAGTATTGCATGAAATTCAACATCCCTGGCGTGCCGAGCTAATCTGGTTGCGCTTGCTTTGTGCCACGTGTCGGGATTTAAACCAGATGCCTGGGCCTCTAGTAATGGAACCAGTTACCAATGTCCCAACAAAGATGCCCACATAAGGTTGGCCAATCACTTGTGAGATGGCTCACGGGAAACCCCGCCCAGTGCAAGGACTCCATGTAAGATGGTGACAGCGTCTAGGGGTCAGACCTTCGGGGATGGAGACACAATGAATGGAGGGAAGCTGGTCCTGCAGTTTTGGATGAAGAAAGGCCGTTGTGCCAGTTCTCCCAGGTCTGCAGGAAGCACTGGCCACTCAAGAACTCGGTCCGTGATGGCCTGGATTCCCTTAGCGGGGATTTGGGGGCTTCCTCTCTTGTCTGTTTAGCCTAACAGTACATTCCCATCACCTCAAGATATCTGGCCTGATACTTTCTTTGCACCTAAAAGAACCTACCATGCAGCCTGGAAATTATATTTTAGAGTGTGGTTGAGGTACGTTGATTTTGCTCAGCCTGATGGACCCCGGATCCTGAGCAAATTGAAGACTAGCTTCCGAGTCGTGACAATTCCTTGTCTCTCTAGCTCAACGGTCTCTAGTTCAGCTATATCCCCAGATTTGAAATAATTTTAAAGTGGTAATTAACCCACTCACTTCTATTTCTCGCTCCTTACTAAGGTACAGGGAGTGGGCATCCCTTCCCTCCTCTGGCGAAGGGGCCGTTTGGAATTTGCCGTATTTGACTTTTCATTGAACTTCTGCCTTGGATTTCTCTTGGAGACTGAGAACGATGGAAGGTGGCTGCCCTGGAGCGAGGGAGAAAAGGGCGAGACGAAAAAAGGACATGTGTGTTTGGATGGAAGGTAGCCCTAATATCATGGACTAAATAAACAGACACACAGGCCTGTAACCCGGGCATGTGCCCTGACCTGGAATGGAACCGGCGCCTTCCTGGTGCACGGGACGATGCTTTTTCTACTAAGCCACACGGGTTTTCTTTTCTTTCTCTTCTACACGTGTCCTTCACCTTCCTTCCTATCACACACTAGGCCTCTGCCTTAAGCACACGCATCCTGCCTTACTACATTTTATATCCGTCTGTCTTAGCTGTTCCCACTGAAGTCTGCTAGAGCACCAGGGCTAGGGGAGCCTGTCACAGTCCTTTATACCAGTCATCCTTCGGAGGAGAGCTCAGTATTCCCAGCCCGTGTTTTATTGCTTTTGGTTTGTCTGTTCCTGCACCAAGCAGATCGATTGGAATATCTCCAGTAGTTAAGCTAGTTAAATATAATTTTCCTGGTTGGGGTTTTAGTTGAGTTGGAGGTTTCAGGAGGGAGAGATGGGATAAGCTGCGTTAGGCGTATCCAGCTGAACTTGCACGTGATGCCTTTCACTTCTGAATTAATTCTCCTGATCCAGTGCCCTCTCTGGCAACAAGATAAACAGGTTCATCTAGAGGCTTGGTTCACTGGCGTAGAAAGCCCTTCAACCCTGAGTGTTCACCTCCATCCACCCCAGGCTCCCGGCCCTGGTTGGGCACAGTGGCGGGCATTGTGTGCTCAACTAGGCTTCACACCCACAGGGGATCTGAGATCCTGCAAAGATCTCTCTAGACCTGCAGGGCCCGGTGTCAAGACACTGCCTCACTTCTGCCCCCACTGGGCAGAGGAAAAGGCTTCTGTACCCAACCTCACAATGAAACTCTCAAAGGAAGGGACAGGTGGAAACCAGTGACTGGGTGGGAGGCTGATGGCCAGAGCTTCAGGGCAAAGCGGGGCTGTGCTGGCATCTTTTAGGAACTTGGTTTTGGGAGACCTTTCTTCTATGGTCATTGCTATTTTTGGAAGAGCTCCACACCTTGGGGGCCTTTGATATCCTTCCTTCCCTCCTCCAAGACACCATTGAAGGATTTTCCATCGACTTGTCAAATCTTCTTTGTATAATATTTATTCGTTTGGATTTTTCCAACAAGGAGATTCTTTCTTTTTCTTTCGTTGCTTTATTTTTATTTTTGTTTTATTGAAGTATGATTTACAAACAGTGAAGGGCTCAGATCTTAAGTATGTCGTCTAGTTGGTTTGGACAAATGTATACACACTTGTGTAACCCGCACGCCTTTCAAGACCCAGAATACTTTCATCACCCTAGAAAGTACTAAAACATTTTAAAGTAAAACCAAAGGCCATCCTTTGTGGGTCTTCCAGGGAAGCAGAACGCACCAAGACTCCCACCCCAGGGATGTAGCCTCTGTGGAGGCCTCTATTGAGAAGGCCTTTATGTCTCACTGAAAGAACATTTTCTTTCATTTGTGCCCATTCCTTCTTGCAGACCCTCCCCAGATCCTGCTACCAGGGTCTTCGTGAGGAGATGCAGGGGGTGAAGGGAAGAACCTGCTTGCCTGGAGCTCTGAGGCCTGGATGCCATGGCTGGGGACCACTCAGGTCGGGAGGGGGTTCCACCCACACAGGGTCAGGGGTGCACAGAGCACTCCAGGGCCACCAGCCATGCAGTTGGTCATACAGACAGAGGGAGACCGGGCGCTATGCCAGTCAACGCTGAGACCCCCCATTAGGAATACTTCACAAAATTATTTCATTACCATGCAGACCGCGGATGGTCATCTGTACTCTCCGGGAGCAAATATTCCTAAAATCCCGTTCAGTGTGTGTGTCTCCTCCTGCCCTCACTCAGTTTGGGGCAACTGTGTGTCCCGGTTAATCCCCCTGACCGGTGGGGAGCAGTAGAAAGCGCTCCTTCCCGGGCTCCCCTCTCCACTCTACTTTTTGCATCTTATCAGAACTGCCAGTAAGTAGCTATTTTTGTTGCTCGAGGGACCGAGTGAGGAGAGGGAGGTTCCTAAGTTTGCTGGGGACAGGAGAAATATTTAGAGTATCTACCTTCAACGTCGTTTGCCAACTTGACTGCTCATTGGAACCCCCGGGGAGCTTTAAAAGCTCTGATGCCTGGACATCAGCGCAGAGCTCTGACTTAATTGATCTGGGATGCGGCCTGGGCATCTGGATTTTTTTTTTAACTCCTCAGGTTATTCGCAGGTTGAAAACTACTGACATAAACCCCTCACTCCTCTTCCGAAAAAATCAGATTCTCAACCCAGGGCTTAGGTCCTGGGTGTCAATCCTATCCCTTCGCAATCTGCCCGCTCCGCAGGGTCCCGGAAAATCCGCGCGGGCGACGACGCTAAACACGCCTCCGCGGAGGGCGGTGCGGGGGGCGGAGCCGCGAGCGGCCCCGCCCCCTGTACGCCTATCCG